TTGGGCATGGGGTTAGCGACCCCATCCCGTAGAAAATCAACTCGCTAAAAAAACGCTAACCAGAAAAAATCATTCAAACCATTCAAACTCTGCCCTGGGAGTAGAAGGAAAAATGACGTCTAATGATGAAAGCCGAGTTCATTCGGAAGTCATGAGGCCGATGCACCTTCTTACAACCAGAGCGAAAATTTTTATAGGTACATGGAATGTCCGGACAATGTGGGAGACTGGCAGAGTCTTCCAAATTTCTGCGGAAATGAGGAAATACAACCTGGAAGTGCTTGGAATCAGTGAAACACATTGGACGCAGGTTGGACAACAACGACTGTCTTCAGGGGAACTTCTGTTATACTCCGGTCATGAAGAAGAAAATGCCCCACATACACAAGGAGTGGCACTGATGCTGTCTAGAAAAGCACAAAATGCACTTATAGGATGGGAATCTCATGGACCGAGGATCATCAAAGCCTCCTTCAGAACAAAGAGAGAGGGCATTACAATGAACATCATCCAATGCTATGCGCCGACCAACGACTACGATGAAGACGCTAAAGACCAATTCTACGATAGGCTGCAGTCAATTTTCGAGAAGTGCCCAACCAAGGACCTGACCATTCTAATGGGAGATTTCAATGCCAAGGTTGGAAAGGACAACACTGGATACGAAGACGTCATGGGACAACATGGACTGGGAGAAAGGAACGAAAACGGTGAGAGATTTGCAAACCTATGTGCCTTCAATAAACTGGTCATAGGTGGCACCATATTCTCACACAAAAACATACACAAAGCCACTTGGATTTCACCGGATCACACTACACAAAATCAAATCGACCATGTCTGCATCAACAAAAAGTTCAGGAGGACGATGGAGGATGTGAGAACCAGGAGAGGAGCTGATATAGCATCCGATCACCATTTGCTGGTCGCCAAGATGAAACTAAAACTCAAGAAGCACTGGACAATGGCGCGGACAACATCACAAAAGTTTAACACGGCCTTTCTTCGAGATGCTGACAAACTCAACGAATTTAACATAGCCCTCAGCAACAGGTTCCAGGCCTTTCATGACCTACTCAATGGAGAGGGAACCACCATAGAGAGCAGCTGGAAAGGTATCAATGAGGCAATCGTTTCAACATGTCAGGAGGTTCTGGGCCAAAAGAAGCACCATCACAAGGAATGGATCACTGTTGGTACACTGGATAAAATTGAAGCAAGGAGGAACAAGAAGGTAGCAATCAATATCAGCCGAACAAGAGCGGAAAAAGCCAAGGCACAAGCCGAATACACAGAGGCAAACAAGCAAGTGAAGAGGAGCATCAGGACCGACAAACGTAAATATGTGGAAGATTTAGCGATGACAGCGGAAAAGGCTGCAAGAGAGGGAAACATGAGACAACTGTATGATACAACAAAGAAACTTGCTGGAAATAACCGTCAACCAGAAAGACCAGTGAAAAACAAGGAAGGCAAAGTAATCAACGATATTGAAGAACAACGAAACAGGTGGGTAGAACACTTCAAGGAACTCTTGAATCGACCAGCTCCACTGAACCCACCCAACATCGAAGCAGCACCCACAGACCTCCCAATAGATATTGGCCCACCAACAATTGAAGAGATCAGCATGGCCATTAGACAAATCAAGAGCGGCAAAGCAGCAGGACCAGACAACATCCCGGCAGAGGCACTGAAAGCAAATGTAGCAGCAACTGCCAAGATACTACACATCCTCTTCAGTAAGATTTGGGACGAAGAACAAGTACCAACAGACTGGAAAAAAGGACTTCTGATCAAGATACCAAAGAAAGGTGATCTGAGCAAATGCGACAACTACAGGGGCATCACTCTTCTCTCAATACCAAGAAAAGTCTTCAACCGAGTATTGTTAAACAGGATGAAGGATTCCGTGGACGCCCAACTTCGAGATCAACAAGCTGGATTTCGTAAGGATAGATCGTGCACAGATCAAATCGCAACTCTGCGGATCATTGTGGAACAATCAATCGAATGGAATTCATCACTCTACATCAACTTCATCGACTACGAGAAGGCATTTGATAGCGTGGACAGGACGACACTATGGAGGCTTCTTCGACACTACGGCGTGCCTGAGAAGATAGTCAATATCATACGGAACTCCTATGATGGACTAAACTGCCAAATCGTCCACGGAGGACAACTCACCGACTCGTTCGAGGTAAAGACCGGTGTTAGGCAAGGTTGCCTACTCTCACCATTTCTCTTTCTCCTGGTGATCGACTGGATTATGAAGACGTCAACATCTGGAGGAATGCACGGGATACAGTGGACAGGCAGGATGCAGCTTGACGATTTAGACTTCGCGGATGATCTGGCTCTTCTATCACAAACGCAACAACAAATGCAGGAGAAAACGACCAGTGTAGCAGCAGCCTCAGCAGCAGTATGTCTCAATATAAACAAAGGGAAAAGCAAGACTCTCCGATACAACACAATATGCACCAATCAAATTACACTTGATGGAGAAGCTTTGGAGGATGTGGAAACCTTTACATATCTGGGCAGCATCATTGATGAACACGGTGGATCAGATGCAGATGTGAGGGCGCGGATCGGCAAAACAAGAGCAACATACCTACAACTGAAAACTGAAAACAATTGTCAACTAACACCAAGGTTAGAATTTTCAATACAAATGTGAAGACAGTTCTACTGTATGGGGCGGAGACGTGGAGAACTACGAAAGCCATTATCCAGAAGATACAAGTGTTTATTAACAGCTGTCTACGCAAGATACTTCGGATCCGATGGCCAGACACTATCAGCAACAAGTTACTGTGGGAGACAACAAACCAGATTCCAGCGGAGGAAGAAATCAGGAAGAAGCGCTGGAAGTGGATTGGGCACACTTTGAGGAAATCACCCAATTGCGTCACAAGACAAGCCCTCACATGGAATCCTGAAGGTCGAAGGAGAAGAGGAAGACCAAAGAACACATTACGCCGAGAAATAGAGACAGACATGAGAAGAATGAACAAGAACTGGATAGAACTAGAAAAGAAGGCCCAGGACAGAGTGGGTTGGAGAAAGCTGGTCGGTGGCCTATGCTCCATTGGGAGTAACAGGCGTAAGTAATTAAATAAGATTAGGTCTTTCTTTATGGCAAAAAATATAAGTGTACTGAAGCTGATCATGGACTTGAATCCAATAATGGTGATGACTTCACAAAAATTCTATGCTTTTTCTATAAAACCTTCTTAGTGGGGTGGACCTCAAATCCAGTTAAGCCAGAATTCAATAATGAAGAATTTCAAAGACGAGTGATATAACTTACCCAGTGGTAGTTTGTTGCCGATGCATCAGCGGGGACCTTCAGTTAGAATATGCTCAACAAAACAAATGAGGTCAGTATCAATCTTGAAGAACTACAGAACTATGGATTTTCGAAATTCACTAACCACTCCACAAGCATTATTTTAGGGAAACACTGTCTGATAACTCTTTAGAGTGTCATAATAGGTCTTGGCAACCAGGCGATTCTGTTCACTCAATATCTCCCCATATAGTGTTTAATCATGGTTATTGTTGTTCTCAAAGACAGACATCAAAGGGAAACAACAAACAAATGATACGACTTTGCCCACAAATGTGATCAATTTCCGAATACTTTATTCACTTTTATTTTCACGACCGCACAACATAATTTAAGTCCAACGAATTAACAAAACTGATGCTCCCCACAATGGAACGTTGAAAAGAAAAGTTTACTTGTAAATAATGAAGAAAAATTCATCAAACTCTCTCTGTATTCGTCGTGTTCTCTTACTTAAACATTGCACATTATTTCTTGACCACATTTCAATTCCACCCCTCTATTATTTTTTCTTTTTCGGAATAGTAGGAAATACAATCTGATCCCATACTGATTACTACAAATTTTTGATTTTGATTCCTCGGGTAGACATTGGATTGATGTCTTCTGAGGTCATGATCAGTGTTTATTTTGAGATATTTCGTTACTTCGTATAATTTTATTGCCTAGTTCTGTTCTACAGGTATTTTATCCAAACGTTATATAAATTCATTCCATAAAATTTTGTTGTTGACATTCAGGTTTAAGTATGAATGCCACTTTTTTCATCTATTTTCTAAATTTAAAACCCTACAAATAACCTGGTCTTTTAGGTGTATTTAACTCTTTCGCCTGATAAACACTGGTCTATTTTTCAGAAATTCAAGTCTTTAGCTAATGTATGTATATGTGGGTCATTATACAGGTTGTCTTTTACTTTCCGTTGATGGATATAAACGCTAACCAACATAGATTCTGTTTTTATTACACTTCATAAGTGTCGGTCTCTCAGTACTTTACCGTTAATGTGCACGTACTAAAACGTCGGGAGGGTATGTTTAATCTTCACAATCATGATCGCAAACGTCTATGGCTTAGTGTTAATTTTCAAAAACTTGTCTATTATTTTTTAATTGTCAGAATGTGCTTTAGTAAAATCATCTTCATAATTTTTCTGCCAGTCACTCATAGTAATTGAGCATTTGTTGGTGTTCTCCACTGAAGCTCAGTTAGTTTTCTAACACAGAGGTAAAATCTCTTTTGGCGTAACCAAACTTGCTCAAACTTCCAAGAACTGTACTACTAACTACACAAACTAATCATACATTAACCTAAATGCATTAAAATCTCTCTATTCTATCCATGTAACCGTAAATACTATTTGCTTTTAAGCCGCGAGAAAAGCGACTTTTAATTCATATTAAATTGGTTACTGAATTCCATATTACAATCTTTTTATCTCTGGATAATGAATTGTAAAGTGAATTGCAAAGTACGGTTAAGTTCAACCATAATTTAGTCAGTCCAGTAATAAAATGATTTTTAGCTAGTTAACACATTGGGAGCCGTAGCTAGGCCGACCACGATTTCCGACATATATCTGTCATCTAGTTTCCTATTGGCCAACCACTTGCGAATCGTTTTATGCAATGCAATAAACCTATTCAGACTTGTAATTAGTATTTAATTTTTCTGTTTTAATACGTATTATAGTTCGACTCACGGTCAAGGAGATATGGAAGTTTTGAGTTATCACTGGATAATTGATCCTTCTTCAAATTAATTTTAGGGTATAATAGACTGAAGACACTAGTAAACTCTTGATACGAATGAAATATAATGAAGAGGATTAAATCTCACTTGAGTTTCGGCACATGGCGGTTTATATACATTCCTCGGATTATAGATAAATAGGATGCTAGAGATCAATTCGCATTTACATGTTAAACCCAACGATGAGTGAAAAGTTCTGACACCATGGTAACCAGTGGTAATGGCCCTGAGAAATTGAAAAAACCAAAGGATGGTGTAATCCATAAGTGATTAAACGTTTTGGGTTCTCAGATAGTCTTAATTTAAAAACTAGTTACCTAGACAGTTGTTGAGAGATAAAATAGTCACTCATTATTTTTAAGCTATTCAGGTTGTGGAGTATGGTGACGAAACTTTTGAGCTACAACGTAGGACCAGGCACACATATGCATCGGTCCAAGTTGCCATACCTCGTCAGCACAACAAGATGAACACTGAATTCATAGAAATAGTTAATTTAGTGGTGGTAGTATATAAAAGATAGGTTGTATATAAGAATGTAGTATAGGAAGGAAGAACGTTATGAAGCAATTTTAATCTTAAGGTTTAAGGGAAGATAAAGAGTGTATACACCTAGTAGGTCCTAGGACGCGTGTTTCATCCTATATGCAACCCATCACCTGGATATACGTACATCCCAGTGCTGATGTTCACACTGGGATTTAAACAATATGCTAATTCAAGTTCCTTCTAATAATCATATAAATGTCGCATCCATATCACAGGTAAGTAGCTATCTGGACTCGGTAGCTCAGTAAATAATGTATTGGGTTTTTAAAGCGAAATATACTGGTTCCGAGTTCTGATACTAACACAAACACCGGTATGTGAGTATATCCAACTAACTAGTCAAATATACATTAAAACACCGATTATATGCATTCTCGCTAAATACATATCCACCTATTCTACGTAAATTGGTTCTCGATTTCTTCGAAGCTTAGGAAGAGATTAATACATTACTTATCTTGTTCATCTGTTGTTTTGTTTTTCAATTACCTTTTAAAATTCATATAAAACACCAACAGAACGCAAAAATAAAAGTATCATTGAATTAGAGAATGGTCTTATTCCATAACCTGTAAGACGTTGTTATGTTTGTGTTCGGTAAGCTAAAAAATCATTTCTATGATTATACATGTATGCGTGACATTCTGGTTAGCGTTTTTTTTAGTGAGTTGATTTTCTACGGGATGCGGTCGCTAACCCCATGCCCAACCCTCCTCCTTTACCCGGGTTTGGGACCGGCAGTAACCCCCACAGGAGCTACAGGCGGAGTTGAATGCGTGACATATCACTCTTAAATTATTTGGTTGCTGAATGTTATCACAAGTTGTTTTTGTTTAAATTTATGACTGTTTGATTTCAAATATGTTAGAGCTTATGTAGCTTAATCCAAGTTAAGCTTTAACAACCAATGTGTTTTTAAATTTTTATTACTTTATTTATTTAAAAAGATAGATATTGTTACAAGGCGGTACTAGATATATATGTGCCAAACAAGTCTCATTTGAGTTGTGTGAGGGCTGTGATACCACCCGGGTGTCGGAACTGAAGCAGACAGTTTTCTTAAGGGGACACACACGGAGACTTTAACCTAAAGGTTTGATCCACAAGGCAGTGGAACATCGTAAGGAGATGCGGTCCCATGGTAGTCGGTGACCAACGATTGATTAATACGCCATTTGTTCCTTCAGGATACTGGAGCCAGCCCATGTGCACCATCGGTTCGAAATGAGGGTTTTCCAACTCCCTTGGAGGGACCCTTCGTGTCCACCAACCCGCTTGAAGCGCCAGACATTCGCTTTTCGTCCTCCCAACTTCGTAAACAACATTAACGCCGCGAGAAGGCAGTGAATAGGACTTCCTTGGCAGAGGCTATATACGCGTAGCCATGTGAGGGCATTTGGAGAGGGAGAGCGGACTCTCCCCATTCTCGGCCGTACCAGGGCATTTGGTGGCGTTAGTAGTATATAAAAGCTAGGTTGTATATAAGGATATGATAACACTTAAACTAATCACAATATTCTTAATATTCATAGTTATACCTAGGAAATTTGTCGTTGGGTTCAAATGAATTAACCTATCATAAACCCGAGTTAATCTGGGACTTAAGTCTATTTTAACAATCCGGAAACGAAAAAAATATGAATTAAATATTCGTGATAAATGCTGGGGTTAGCATTTAAGCTTTAGGATCATAATTTATATGTCCAACTATTCATCCAAACAATTTTTTAAATTTTATTTTTGTATTTGTTTTTCAGAACATGTTTCTATGCTCCATTGTTACCATGTGATTATTGTTCAGCATGCTTTCATTTAGAATATTTAAATCCACCATTATCTCATTATCCACCACGTTCAGATCGTTGGATGTGTCCAAATCATACAGAGCATACAGCTGTCATCATCAGATTTATCCAATACAGCAATGTCAAGTATTTTCGATTCCATACTATATACTACTAATAATACTACTACTATCAAAGATAAACAACATATATTGTCCAATCGTCATTTATGACTTTTAAATCGTGAATTAGCAGCGAAATCTTAAAGTAATCACAATTATTATAATAAACAGATAAGAATTGTGGTAAGTATGTAGTATCTTACAGCTTTATATGTATATGTTTGTTGGATGATGCTCCATAGCTCTATATCAAAATACACAACGTTATATATTCGGCTTCGAGCTACATTTGTGTTTACTGTAACAGCTAGTGATACTGAGCGAACCGGATTAGGTGTCACAAAATCAAGAATCTGCTATTAGTCTGATCTTTAAACCGGGTTGATATAGAGGATCCACCTAGGGAAGTTGGAAAACTCTGATTCCAAACCAGTGGTGAACATGGGCTCCAGGATTCTGAGGGAACAAATGGCATATGAACCTTTTGTTGGTCACCGGCTACCATGGGACTGCATCTCTCAATGTTGCTCTACTGCCTTGTGGATTACACCTGTAAGTCGAAGGCTCGGGGTGTGATTCCCTAAGAAAATCAGTAAGGGTCAGGGTGATTTTTGCTCTAGTTTTGAATTTGTTGGTTACTTCTTTGCACCCTACATTAAATAACTGAAAATACCATCTTACGAATATAACAAATCGACAGTCTTTGTATATCTAGACATCAAGTCGTTCTCGTACTCGATGAACAGAACCATGCTTCAAAATTGTCTATTAAAGGTAAGTAAGTTTCTGAAAAGCCAAATAAAAATTAAGAAATCCGTCATTATTGGTATTGAATTTAGAATTGAATCAGTTTCAAAAAGTGTTCCGGATATTTCTACAATGTAGGACCAGGCACATGTATGCATAGGTCCAAGTTGCCACACCTCATTAGCACAACAACATGAACATCAAATGCATAGAAGTAGTTACTTTAATGGCAGTAATGTATAAGGATATAATACAGGAAGAAAGATATAGTTGGTAGAAACAAAGGCATAAAGCAACTTTAATCTCACAGTTTAATGAGAAACAGGGAGGATATACACCTAAAACATTGTGATATATTGTGAACCATTTTGATGTTGGTTTGTTCTCTGAGCTGGGTGGTGAACCATTGGTTACGACAGTCACTCGGACTTCAACCAAGTAGTCTGCACTTACCAACATGGCTCAGACTAGAAGTTAGTGACTTCAAAGACTGATGCCACGTTTTGGTTTGGCCACCCGCAGCTTATTTTCCAACCATCCCCCAATACTAGTCAGCATTGTGCGTCGTGGTAATCGGTGGCTGTGTATGAGTAATATATGGCGCAACCATCTCAGTCGGTGAAGATTTACAACCCCATCAACTGATTTACCATCACTCCTTAATATCCTGTGTATAATCTCACTATTACTTACCTACTGTCCATAGTTTCTACTATTTTTTGTTGTTATGTGTTATAATTGTATTTTGCTATATAAACGACCCAGCTATTCCTATTGCTTAGTATTCTTATACAATCACACTCGACAAGACCTCAAAATTAGAACACGTTGAACAGGAATGAAATTGTATTCAAAATAATAATGATATGTGAACAGCAATCACTAGTTTGAATAACGTTTATATATTTATAGTATATACATAAGAAGCTTCTAGATTTTTCTCCAATAATGTTCCCGGGCTGATCGGTTTAGAATTAGCCAATCAGCGCGCAGCAACACCATCATGCATGAAACATGCTTTAATCCAATCTATGTCCGGCTATCAAGAAGATTCAAACAAGCAATATCAAGTGGATTCTTCCCCATATAGTCAGAAATAGTTTCATAGAGAACTTATTATCATCTTTAAAAACTTTATTATTTATGTTAAGTGGGCTTCCGGAGAACTCTATCAGACCCTCCACAGGCTCATAAAGAGATCAACCAATCAGCAATTAATTAGAAGTTGTGTGAAGTAATGTCACTAAAATAACGAGATCCTGATTGACTGTTTAACATACTGCTACTATGGAAACTCAAGGTCTCTTAATTACTATAAAATCCCTGTACTTTCTGTACATAATTGAACCTAGCAGTAAAGTGTTTCTTTCATACTCGCGTCTTCTTACTGGTGTTCAAGTCGATGAGTAGTGCTAGCCCTGGGGTTATCGAAATAGCTTAAGATTCGAATAAGCGTTCAACCTACAAGACATATCAGTGGCGACGGGAAAATGACAATGAAAATTTCTCTGGAGCAATTAGAAGTCTATATGCTGCATCAAGAAAAGAGGTTTGAAGAGTCCCAAATTAGAATCATGGAAACCCGGATGCAGAAATTTTGCCTGTCCGGGAGAAACCCTGCTTCTAGTGAATTACAAGTTTCAAATACTGATTCAGTCATTAATGCCATACATGAATTTAATTTTGATGGTGTAGCAGGTATAACTTTTGAGTCGTGGTTTAAGAAGTACGAAGTTTTGTTTTATATTGATCTTCGCAACCTGGATGACGCTTCGAAAGTCAGAATACTTCTGAGAAAACTTGGGACCGTGGAACATGAACACTACAGCAACTTCATTCTTCCGAAGAACTCACGAGATTTTAGTTTCGATGAAACAGCCAAAACCCTATCCCAAATCTTCTGAGAACAATCATCTCTATTTAATATCCGTTATCAGTGCTTAAAGTTAACGAAAGAACCTGGAGATGACTAGGTGAAAGATGCAGGAACTGTGAACCGTGAATGTGAGAGGTTCAAATTGCCATCCATGTTTGAGGACCAGTTTAAATGCTTAGTATTTATCTGCAGCCTGCGTTCACCTAATGATAATGATATCCGGACCAGAATCCTAAGTAAACTTGAACACTGCCCTAACATGACCCTACAGGAGGTGACTACTGAATGCAAGCGTCTGGTGAACTTGAAACATGACACCTCGATGGTAGAAAATATTGGTCGACTTCCTTGTGTACAGGCAGTAAGTGGGAAGAAAGATTTGTATATGCGAAAGCAGAACACAACCATTAGGAAGTCTCCATCCGCATGTTGGCTTTGCGGAGAGCTGCATCACAAAAGGTTCTGCCCATACAAAAACTACCGGTGCACCAAATGTCAGCTTAAAGGACATAAAGAAATATATTGCAAAAAGAAGATGCACCGTCGTTCATCAAGTGTTCATTACCGAAGACGTAAAAACTGCTCATCAACTAACAGAATAATGGTGGCACATACCAGAACAGAACATAATCGAAGAAAATATGTGACTTTAGAGATTGATGGATGCCGTGCCCGTCTGCAGCTTGATACTGCCTCAGATATTTCACTTATCAGCCGGAAAACTTTGAGTCATATTGGAAAACCCTTGGTGCTCCCTACAACTCAGTTAGCACACAGTGTTAAATATTGTTGGAGAAATATGCTGCCCAGTTAAAAAAGATACTGTACAGAAGAACGCGAAAGTATATCTCACAGGAAGTCCAGGACTAGATTTGCTTGGTCTTGACCTAATCGAAATGCTACAGCTGGCTAACCAGCCCATTATTTATATGAAGTCGGGTGAGATCGGATGTACCCACTGAGCAAAACCTGAGAAACATGGTCCTCCAGAAACATAGTCAAGTGTTCAACGATGAACTGGAGGAATGCAGAAAGGTGAAAGCACTACTAACCGTTAAGCTGGGAGCAATACCAGTGTTCAGACCTAAACGTCCCGTATCTTACGCAGCGCTACCAATTGTTGAACAAGAATTAGAACGACTGCAAGAAAGGGGAATTGTAGAACCAGTGAACATTTCTAATTGGGCAGCTCCAATAGTAATTGTTAAAAAGCCCAATAGAAGTATTCGATTATGTGCAGACTATTCCACTGGATTAAATGACGCACTTGAAGCTCATCAGTACCCCTTACCATTTCCAGAAGACTTATTTGTGAAACTTAACGGGAGTAAGTATTTTGCAAAACTAGACCTATCAGAAGCATATTTACAGATTCCAGTAGCGGAAGAGTGCAAACATTACTTGACAATAAACACCCATCAAGGGTTGTTTCGATACAATAGACTTCCGTTTGGAGTAAAGACTGCCCCTTCAATCTTTCAACAAGTTATGGATACTATGCTACAAGATATTCCTGGTACTGTGGCCTATCTGGGCGACATACTAATCATGGGTACAGACTATGCTGACCTGGAGAAGAAGGTAGATATGGTTCTCAGACGCATAACAGATTTTGCGTTCACATTACGTGCTGAAAAATGTGATTTCTACATGGAACAACTCCGCCATTTGGGATTCATAATTCATAAAAACGGAAGAAAATCTGATCCTGAAAACGTCGAGGCTATCAAGTACATGCCTCCACCAACTGATGTGCCAACTTTACGCTCTTTCTTGGGAATGGTTAGTCATTATGGAGTTTTTCTTCCAGAACTGCATCGCTTTCGTGCTCCTCTTAATGGGTTGCTGAAAAAAGATACCAAATGGTCCTGGTCATCTGAGTGCCAAGAAGCTTTCGTAAAACTAAAACATCTCCTATCATCAAACCTTTTACTCACAAACTATGATCCAGATCTTCGTATTATAGTCGCAGCAGATGCGTCCAACTACGGAATCGGCGCAGTGATCTCACATACCTACCCAGACGGGTCTGAGAAGGCAATCGCCCATGCTGCACGGTCGCTGACTATGACACAAAGAAACTATAGTCAGATAGAAAAGGAGGCCTCTCTATTATATTCGCTGTAAAGAAGTTCCACAAGATGCTATTTGGCAGACAATTTACCTTACTAACAGACCATAAACCGCTGCTGACAATTTTTCAATCGAAAAAAGCTATACCTGTATATACATCAAACCGTCTACAGAGATGGACAACTACACTGCTGGGCTATGATTTCAAGATAAAGTACAAAACAACAACGGATTTTGGACAGGCAGATGCCCTTTTCAAGACTAATTAGTTGCCGTACAAAACAAGAAGAGGAGGAGTTTGTGGCTGCCGTAGATGTTGAGGCCGAGGTTCACACAGTATTAGCAGACGCAGTGCTCGGACTTCCAGTCACATTCGAAGCTATTAAAAGGAGCTTGTGAGAAAGACAACATGTTGAAGTTTGTTCGCCGCTGCATACTCAACAAGTGGCCTTTGTCTAGACTACATGGAGAACTCTTGCAATTTGTTCCGTCGACGAGACTCATTGACAATTGTAGATTCCTGCATCATGTTTGGCCACCGTATCGTTATCCACAGAAATCTTCGAAACCAAGTCCTAAAGCAGTTCCACAGAGGACACCCTGGGACCAGGCAGATATATCCATCGGTCCAAGTTGCCATACATCATTAGCACAACAAGATGAACACCAAATTCATAAAAGTAGTTACTTCTATGTTATTAAATATATAAAAGAAAAATTGTATATAAGGATATATATAGTACAGGAAGAAAGGAAGATATAAAGCAATTTCAATTTCAATTTCATAGTTTAAGGGAAGACAAAGAGTGCATAAACTGTATACAATGTAAAATTGGTAAATTGCAGCATAAAAAGAAAGTAAATTTAAATTCACCGACAATCAAATAATCTTCATTGAATGATGATATTCATAGAAATAAAAGCCAACAAAATTCAAGTAACTTATTTATTTATAGGGAAAGCAATATGAAGAAAAAAGTATAAAAAAGGTTTACTATATCCAAACTTTGAAAGCAAAACTAACCAAACGACAACGACAAAGTCACTGGAAAGCTTTATTGCAAAAGTCAATGGTAAATGATGCATGAGTCCACACAAACACACACGCACACACATGCATATATACTCGAAATTCCAAAAACCAAATAGCATTTTTTGTCCTACAATATCCACTAATCTTTAACATAATTCATGAAATAGGATGGTAGAAATTTAATAAAGAATATCAGTTCGTTTTTATATCAAGAAAAAAGGAAAGAGAAAGGAACTTTGACTTACCAATAGACTAATTCATCATAAATCGAATAAAGGGACAATACTCAATAGTATTAGCTTGCAGTCTAACATTTATCATCAATCACATACATGTCATATTTATAATGCAATTAAAATGAACCAAACGCACAAAAAAGTAACTATCAGTACACGTTAAATTTAAACAGATAGTACCTGTTTTGCGAATAGCGCACTAACACTGACAACCAACATTATGTTGAAGTCAGCAGAACCCACAACAGCTTCAAGGCCGATATCATCCTGTCGAAAGCATTTTTCAAAAAAACAAAACAAGGATAAACTGTATTATGTAAACCAATCTATATATCTAGACAAGGTGAGGATACGGACTTACCCTCGACCAAGTGATGCTTGAGATGAATAGTAAATGATGTGTTGACTTAGTTATGGGAACAAAAAGTACGGGGAAATCTACCCAAAACGACAAAAGAAACAACACGAACTTTATTAGGACTAGAGTAACCCAAAACAATAGAGTGGACATAAGCACTTACCGATTATAGGTTATTAGTAGTTACACGTATGATTTGACCACAAGTTATACCATAAAATTTATGTCGTTATGAATTGCTAACCTACAATCACCACTAACTAGTTGAAATTGTGAGATGAACTGTCATACAAACTGAGTTCCTAATATATTAACAAGACTTCTAAAAAACCTTATTCTCAAGAACTATGCTAGGGATACACTATGAAATCACAAATTATATCACATGACTTACAAGAAACTACTCGTCTAGTAGCTGATGCACAGCGAGATAAAAATTGTAATTAACATGCATAAAACTCTGAAATATGATGTTACCAAATTAAACGAATATCCAGGAAATTCGTAAGCACTGAACTCATGTAATCAATCAACCAGAATCTTTTTCTGAATAACATATTCGCAACTTGTTACCCTGATGCAAGTTTGTATAAATTGACATGAAAAAAGCAGCTACAGAGAAAAGTGAAAAATAATTCTTGTTTTAATGCACTTTCACAACTTTTTAAACAATTAGTCAAAGTAACACGTTTAGACTCTATGAACTATGCACCGAATCAAATATATTTCTTAAGATTTCTTGTTTATTTATGGTTATTTCACTTGAATTCCTGTAAAACGTCTGGGTCTAATAGATCAAACATGAGGAGGTATATAATCTTTAATGAAAGTGTTATGGGATTAAGAACATGTTTCGAATAATAATATTACAGGCAACAAATTTGTAAAGATAAAACCTTAAAACCTATTTTGTAAATAATTTTTCATAGTTTTCGCATGTATTTTCATATTCTGTACATTAAGCATTAAACAATTGTACTTGTTGTTTAAGTGTATTACTTTGAACACTTGTAATTCGACTTCCTTCCGTTTTGAGTACAACATATCGTGGCACTGTTACTGCTCCTCATTAAATACACTCTAATTCACATCTGCATCGTTCTGCTATGTCCGCTAATATGGTAAATGAAATATTAATTGCATACCATCTACGTTAATAGACAATTGTGACATTCTTATTGAATTCTACGCTTGGTAAACCTACTGGATCTATATCGTCCATATTGGGATTGCTAATCTTTTATAATTGTGGAATATTTGGACCAAACTCAGCTGAACACGCAATAGCCTGAAGACTTAAGTAACGTCCCTTATTTTGTTATTTGTGTGTGTAATTAACTTATTAACTGTTAATTGTTATATAAACTTTAGACGTAATATTTTGTTGCTAATTTTTGGTTATCATACATTTTGGTCCACCACAATTATTTGGTGAGCCCAGTATTTTATTATCTCGCATTTATACCATTGTTATATTGTTTATTCGCTCATTGTACGACACTTTTGCTCATTTTAACCTAATGTACTCCCCACCTAAGCTTAGTGATTTGGATCCTGTTCCAGTAACCACTCATAGTTCATCATCTAACATTCCCGACAGTATATTTAGTCCAGTCAACGCCATTTCTGAATTTAAGCTTCCACCATATGGAGTAAATAATCCTAGAATCTGGTTTGCTCAAATTGAAGTCTTATTCCAGTCCAGGGGCGTACGTTCCCAAGCATCAAAGTACGCTTATGTGGTGGGCTCACTTCCGATCGAAATTGCAGCCAAAGTTGGAGACTTTATCTACCAGGGGAAGTCTTCCCCTCTCGATGATTTAGCTGATGTGGCGGATAAGGTAACGGAAATCTGCCATGATAATCACTATATAAATACGATGCAACCGTATGGAGCAGCTGATGTCAGTTACTTAAACTCTATTCAAAGACAATTATCTCAATTGACGAATCAACTTGAGTTCCTTTCAAACCACTGTAGCAACGGTTCAAGCTAAACAAGTAAGACCCCTTTTTAGACAGAGATCACGTTCTAGACCACGATCTCGTTCACCTAAACGAACATCCGAAATTTGTTGGTATCATATTAAATTCGGCACAAAAGCACGGCGTTGTACACGCCCGTGTGCATTTCCCTCACCCAGCACTGATAACCAGGGAAACGGTTCGGCCAGGCAGTAATGGCGGCGCCTGACTCTGGCCACAGCTCAAGCCGTCTATTTCATGTCAGGGATCGTATTTCGGGCTCAGATTTTCTAATCGATACTGGAGCCGAAATAAGCATACTCCCAATTCATCTTTCCCGACGACGGCACTCTCAACACGCTAAATTATCATTAGTGGCAGCAAACAATTCTATTACTAAAACGTATGGCGAGCAATCACTCATCTTGGACATCGGTCTCCGTAGACGTTTTACATGGGTTTTCATCGTCGCAGAAGTTAAACAACCCATCCTTGGAGCCGATTTTCTTAGTAACTACAATCTCCTTGTCGACATGAGAAAAAAGAAACTTATCGACGTGAATACAAGTCTACAGGTCAACGGAACAATCACCTGTAATTATGAAACTTATGGTGTCCGATTGCTTAGATCTGATAGTCAAACTTTTGCCGATCTTCTATCGAAGTATGAATGTATAACGAAAGCCGATTATCAAACTGAAAACTCCACACACCATGTTCAACATACTATCACTACAACTGGTCCACCTATCTGCGCCAAGGCGAGGAGACTACCACCCAATAAGTTGCAGTCCGCCAAAAGAGTATTCGAACATATGATGCAACTAGGGATAATCCGACAGTCTAATAGCCCTTAGGCCTCGCCACTGCACATGGTTCCCAAGAAAGATCAAGATTGGCGCCCTTGTGGAGATTATAGACGTTTGAATAATCAGACAGTTCCAGACAGATACCCCATACCTCATCTACATGCTTTTTCACTAAACCTGCACGGTAAACTGATTTTTTCAAAACTAGATTTAGTCAGAGCTTATCATCAGATCCCAGTGGCACCTGAGGATATTGAAAAAACAGCCGTAATCACAACTTTTGGGTTGTTTGAATTCTTGAGGATGCCATTTGGGCTTAAGAATGCCGCGCAAACATTCCAACGATTTATGGATGAAGTCACGCGAGGTTTAGATTTCGTATTTGTTTACATCGATGACGTCCTAACCGCTATCTCTTCCTTGGAAGAACATATTCAGCACATACAGACTCTCTTTAAGCGTTTCAAAAGTTATGGCGTGGTGATTAATCCCTCTAAGTGTATATTTGATGTTTCAGTGTTGGAGTTCCTCGGTCATTACATAGACTCTCAGGAAATTAAACCCCTTCCAAAGAAAGTAGAAGCCATAATCAACTACCCTGAGCCTACTTCTGTTAAGGCACTACGTCGTTTCCTGGGAGCATCAAATTTCTATCGACGATTTCTGCACAATTGTGCTGATGTCCTACAACCCTTAACACACCTGCTTAAAGATGATAAAGCGAGTAGCAAAAATAAGAATCAACTATTCCACTTATCCTCTGACGCCAAAATAGCATTCGAAAAAGCTAAAAGCTTGATCGCTGGCGCTACTATGTTACAACACCTAAACACTGACCCCAAAACGCATCTGATCTTGTGTACGGACGCACCTCAAAAAGCCGTAGGGGCAGTGCTACAACAACGAGTTAATAACATGATAGCACCAATAGCTTTTTTCTCTAAACGGTTATCACCCACTCAAGAGCGGTACAGCACATTTGGACGAGAACTTTTAGCCATGTACTTAGCAGTTAGACACTTCAATTTTTTACTACAGGGTCGTGACTTTACTATCATGACTGACCATAAACCCCTGTGTTTCTCATTTAATATGTCATATGATAGACATTCTCCACGTGAAGCGAGACAACTCGATTATATCTCGCAATTCACCACAGACATTCAGTTTATCAAGGGCCATACCAACATTGTCGCAGACGCACTGTCTAGAAAGGATATCAATATGACGGTACTTAACCATGGCATCAGACTTGAAACCTTAGCCAAATTACAAGCAGACGACGCAGAATTGAAGGTCTGTAGACAAAAGTCTAGCTTGAATCTAAAATCGGTACCCATTCCTTTCTCAGACGCATCCATCATTTGTGACACTTCAACAGGCAATAATCGCCCTATTTTCCCTCAGGCTTGTCGACTAAAGTTATTCCAACACTTGCACGGTTTATCACATCCGGGCATCCGAGCTACTACAAAGCTGAAAACTGAAAGTTTTGTTTGGCTCAAAATCAAATCAGATATTAAACGATGGACACGTGGTTGACTTCAGTGTCAACGTAGTAAGATCCAAAAGCATACTATTAGTCCAATCGGAGAATTTCCTATTCCTGATAGACGTTTTCAACATATCCATTTAGATTTAGTAGGACCTCTACCTTCGTCAAATTCTTTTACTTACATCCTCACGGCAATAGACAGATTCACTCGATGGGCCATTGCATGCCCCATCAAAGACACATCAGCTGAGACTGTAGCATCCGTTTTTCTAGACCGATGTATATCGCACTACGGTGTACCGACAACCATCACAACTGATCGTGGTCCCCAGTTCCAGTCTATCCTGTTTCAGGAATTCACAAGACTTCTGGGCGTAAAACACATCAGAACCACAGCTTACCACCCAGCAGCAAACGGCATGTTTGAAAGATTTCACCGGCAATTAAAAAGCTCACTCATGGCTCAAACTGATTCAACAAAATGGAGTGATGCCTTGCCGTTTGTTCTCCTTCGGATTCGTGCCACGGTGAAGGAAGACAGGTTGTACACCCGCCGAGTTAGTCTATGGTACAACTCTAACGTTACCGGGCCAACTAGTCAACTGTGAACCTACAACGCAAGAAGATGCTACTCATTTCGCAAGTTGCCTATTACAAATGATGCAGAACATTAGAGCAATACCACCTCGAGTATACAACAATCCAGTCCATCTCGATAAACATTTAGAAACGTGCGAATTTGTTTTTGTTCGAGTAGACGCGGTGGAAAAGCCACTGACACCACAATATGAAGGTCCGTATAAAGTAATAAAACGCACTCGCAAATATTTCATTATCAACAAAAACAGGAACAATGAAACAATTTCCATAGACCGAATAAAACCAGCTTTCTACGAACCCCCTCAAGCCACTGACGATAATACAGCGAACAAACAATCACTCCCATCAATTGCTAAGAAACAAGAGGAAGAGGAAAAACTCAGCACTACATCCTCTTGTTTAACACGATCTGGGAGACTTATTAAAAAACCCAAACGTTATGTACATTTTAACTAACACAATCAATCAGTTGTATGCATTAATTTGCGAAGTTACGCAATCTTCTAATAAAATATATTTATTTTCCCTACATGTACATTTAATAACTACATTTATTTGTTATCACTGGTTTTGCCAATTTTTTTTAATAAGAAAAAATTGTCATGGTAATAAACAAGTGAATGCTAACTAACTATTTATTAAATTCATCCATTTTTTTTTATGACTCTATTAACAGTTTTGCACATTTTATTATTATTATTACCAAACCGAAACTTTGTAATGTTTGTTCTTCAGTTTCAATTGCGTAGCATAGCGTATATTATTAACGTGCCATTTATTCCTATCTCCACTATTTTTTTTCCATTATTACAGTAAATACTATTTTATGTACATTTATACACAATATTTTTCAATTTTTGTTGTTCATATTGTAATCAGTGGTACCTCCGGACACTCTGGGGGGAGCTATGTGGAGATTGAACCTTAAAACCTATTTTGTAAATAATTTTTCATAGTTTTCGCATGTATTTTCATATTCTGTACATTAAGCATTAAACAATTGTACTTGTTGTTTAAGTGTATTACTTTGAACACTTGTAATTCGACTTCCTTCCGTTTTGAGTACAACATATCGTGGCACTGTTACTGCTCCTCATTAAATACACTCTAATTCACATCTGCATCGTTCTGCTATGTCCGCTAATATGTTAAATGAAATATTAATTGCATACCATCTACGTTAATAGACAATTGTGACATTCTTATTGAATTCTACGCTTGGTAAACCTACCGGATGTATATCGTCCATATTGGGATTACTAATCTTTTATAATTGTGGATTATTTGGACCAAACTCAGCCGAACACGCAATAGCCTGAAGACTTAAGTAACGTCCCTTATTTTGTTATTTGTATGTGTAATTAACTTATTAACTGTTAATTGATACATAAACTATAGACATAATATTTGTGTTGCTAATTTTTGGTTATCATACCTTTTGATCCACCACAAATTCGTTCATTTGAGAACGATCTCACAAACCATCAAACATATGGTCAAAGAAATTAATTTTTGACGCTGAGTAAGGCAAGAAACTAGAATCCATTGATAATAAATGCAAATCATCACGTTTGCAAATACAAACACAAAGAATGCACATTACCAATTACTGAGACCATTCGCCTAGTTTGCCGTTAGGTGATAATTCCAAAATCACAATTTCGCAAAAACTGCAAGATGATCATATGGTATTTTTCACCATTAAAGCCACAAAGACTTCTATAACTGACTTTTGCAATAAATACTCCAACCAAGGTAGTTGCCAACTCGGGAGCAGAACTTCCAGCAGCCATAAACGTTGCTCCAGCGACATCAGGCTGAAGGTGCAATACTATAAAGTACAGGTAAAGTGAAAAATTAAACAAACCTTTACAAATTCTCTCCAGACAAGGAATGAAGTAGTCATCACAAAGTAATGCCAGACCGATGAACATATAAATTGAGACAACCAGATGGATTATAACGGCTCCATATAGCCTTTGGGACTGCGTAAAAATGTCCCGTGGAAAATTTTCGATTGCTAAAGGCGTACAATTTAACGATGGGTGTGGACGCACAACTTGTATTCCCAACAACTTCCTGTTCATCCAAGAACCTCTTTCGCCATTTTGGTCAACTGATGAATCAAAAGTTACGGTTGGATATAATAAATGCTTTTCATAGTTCAGGGAGCTTGAACTAGCTGCACGGAAATAACGTGAACCAATTTTTGTCACAATGAACACAAAATACAATCCCAAGAAAAGCAATTTGCGCCTTGACAAATTTTTCGTGGATAGCATAATTCAGGAAATAATAAAAACCAGACGAATGGATGCAATTACTAATTTGTCACCATATGCTTGATAATTATTAACACGATACAGCTCCGAAAACACCCATAACGAACCTGCAGTAGAACGTAATACGCGCTGTGGAGCAATAATCAACATGCCACCGCAAAGTACAACAAAACCTGTAGTCCAGTATAAGAACGTCAACGCCTAATATACTCTCTTATTGACAGTGAGTTATAACAAATAGATTGTAATCATTTTAATTTGATCCTGAGTTGAATGTGCTGACTAAGTTCAAGCTATGAGAAAGTGCTCCATCTAAGACATTTCATTCTAAAAGTTACACTGTCAAGTTCATATGTCTTATCTGTTGATATACTCTGTTGTTATTGGTCATGGTAAACCTCAACTAAAAACACATCCTAATTTCTTTATTAGGAAGATAAGAGCCTGGATGGTCTGAGTTAGTTCAAACGATGGGTTTTACTCAATTAATTCGACATTCGTCTCAATGTGTGAGTAGGTTTCTTTCCAACCACCTGTTAGGGCAATGGGCTTGGTTGTTTAATAATTTGATAGAAAATCAACGGTCAGGCGACATGTAAAAAGTTAATAACATGTAAAATTTCTTGGGCTTACCAAATAAGTACACTGTTCCGGGAGACAAAAAGCAGTGGATATGTCGTATGCAAAATCGTCATAAGCGTAGAACTGGTAAATCAGCAATAGCCTCTGGCCAAATCACCCCATACGCAGGTTTCAAAATATCGGACAGTCTTCGAAACTTCGTCTAGGCTGGGGGACAATTGACGTAGACTAAGTTTATGCCTGCCAAGGACAGGAGTATGCGGTAGTTGTTTCGCCTTGTATTCCTGTGAACTTTTAGTGTTGATGTAGGGTTTTACTTAGCGAAGGCATTTATTTTAGCCAGTTGCCTGATTATCACGATAGCATATACCTGGGTAAGTATTACGCGAGGCACAAATTCGACGTGGGCAAGGACGTCACATCATTTTCCACTGATTTGAGCGGGCCCGGAACCATAGACACAGATGACTACATTGGTGATTAACATAAGTCATTTAAACACCACGTTTGAGAAGCGACTTAGCTTTTTTGTAAAACAAGTCCTCAGGATTAACAATCGATCACTAAATAACTTCAACCACCATTACTCTTATTGGTTTGTTTGGATTTCTGAGAATGCCATTTGGATTAAAGAATGCATAACAGAGATTTTAACGATTTGTGAATGAAATCACTAAAAACCTGAACTTTTTCTTCGTGAATATTGACCATGTATTATTAGCTAGCAGTTTGCTCAAAGATCATAATGACCACCTACATCGACTGTTTGAAATATTCCACGGATTAGGTACAGTTATTAACCCATCAAAAATCACTTTCGGAGTGGAGAGCTTAGATTTTTTAAGTGTGATCAGATTGTTCAAAATGTATTGCACTAATATGTCACACAGTCCTGATAATCTTCGGCTTCTTATTACACCATCTAAACAAACGCACTATCACAGTCATTACTGTATTCATCTGATCGAGGTTCAAGTTGAGGATCGAGTAATAAACTCTGAGTAGTTACGTTGTTGTTGAGATAAGTGAGAATGTTGTCTTCATTCAACAAACTGTATCCCTCGGCTGACACTAGAAATGACACCGTATTAACACTTGACATTTCAAGATCTGACATTGCTTGATCTCTGTTTCTGTTGTGAAGAAGTGAAAAAGATGTCAGTTGCGATTGTCAGTGTTTAGTACAACCAAACTAACACAACGCAGTCGGTTTATACCATGAATTTTTCTTTATATGGTAGATTCTGAGCGGTTTTCTCATGGCATTACCTGACTGGTCTGCTCGAGGTGGTTGAACAACAAGAAGAAAAGTACTGCAGCCAAATGAATTTCACCTGGGTTTCACATTCATTTTGGTCCATCGGAATCTGTGTTCCAAATTCAAACATTTGCATCCAAAATAAGTTTTTGCAACCACTATCACTAACTAAGATATCGGTATAATAGTGCGTTTGTCGCTGAACTTCAATGAAACAGTGGCTTAAACACAGAGAAATAAACGTGAAGCAAACGAGATGGATAGACTAGTCTTCTCATCAGTTTTCGAAGAAATTTCTAGACATAAATATCTTATCATACTATTTTCAACTGTCTGCTGGACTCTTCACCTTAATACATTATTTTGTATTCAGTTGAGTCAATGTGATTCAGAAATCATTCATTGTTGTAATAGAATGCAGACATGAGCTGATGTGTTTTCTTTGTTGAAAAGCCACCCTGGATATGTATATTTTATGAAAGAGCAACAAACAATCTCATTATTCGCTTTGAATATTACAAATGAACGTATTTGTGAGAATGGAAATCTTTTCTAGTTGATCCGATTTGCTCGAAATCATGTGCACTATACTGACAATTCAGATGGTTAGGGATAATTCGCGTTGAGAGTGATAACCCAGTTTCGTTCTATATTACTATGATCGAAGTAATCATCATCACTCACATATAAGCAGACTATCTACTGGTCTCCCCATACTATCTGCAACTATGTCTATCGACTGGATTTCTGAGTGCGGCGTTTTGATTTTCAAATTATTAGTTCATTCATCTGCTAAGGAAGAATGATTCGAAGTTAAATCATCTAAATTCCAATCGCAACTGTGTTCATGGTTTCGTTTACACTTGTTCTACTTGCCTATTACAAAGCTGATGATGGTCTATTGAAATGTGGTTTTCATTTGGAAATATATATTGTAGCTTCATAGATTTTGTTTGTGACATTCTCTATTTGTATACTAATTTCATTATTTATCATTGTTAGTCTACGAACTCATTGAGTTGTATTATTTTTCCCTTTCGATATTTGCTCAATTGTGAGTGTTCTATATTCTCCTATCATCTTGGTTCTCACAGCAGGTTGTCACCAAGTAACCTATTAACCTGCTCAACCCTTCTCTGATTTTCTAACTAACACTTCGAATCATATGTCTGAATTCTGTTTCAGTGAAGTGAATGTTGTGACAGACATTCACCAAAGTGCTAGCGTATGTAGGTTCTAGCTGTGTGATACATTTATTATCTTGAAGAGACTGTTGTTTATTCGTCAGTGATCGCATTTAAGTGTTTCAAAGAACTGAATTATGTGGGACAAGTGAAACCCGTGAAAATCATCACGCAGAATAGAACACACTGGCAAAATTATAAATTCTATTTAAGCAATAATCTAATCTAAATTAATCAATCCACATTGAATTCAGGAGATTTTATGTGTACCTGAAATCAAAGGTAAGTTTACACATGAATATGATCGTCAATGAAATGGTTCATATTGATTATGTAATATTGTGAACCAACAAGTAGAACATGAATGCAAGTGAAAGCAAGACTTTGGAGAACAATTGATAATAATAATTCAAATGGCTTGAAATCAGTCAATATTGTTTAACTTTAAATCGTTCGAACAATCGTTCACACAGATGTATATTTCAGCCAATCAAGAGTTCTTCTGATTTCATAATGGCTAGCGCATGAGCTCAGCACTGGATAGTTGTTTTTATTTCTCACCGAAATTTTACTGTATAATCTTCAGTAAAGCCAATAGAAACATCACAAGTATGGTTGTGATGAATGCGCGATCTGTAGATTGATAAAACTGTTGTTACTATTTTGTTCACTGTGTCCCGAATGTTTTATTGTCATTGATATGACCATCAATTTATGTAAATGTATTAGTCAAGTGAAGAAACTCAACTTTGTGTAACTCAGTTATTTGTGAGAGACAGCACTTTATGTTTTCGGGGATTGTATTTAATCGTAATTTGATATTGTAAGAAAGCTGGATGCATTGAAATGGTGATTAGTGCATTGAAACGGATTCCCTTACAGTACATTTTATACAATAACCAACATTACAACAATCAATTATTCTTCACTGTTCTTACATTTATCTGTTCAATGACAGTAATCTTTTACATAATGAATATTTTGTCGATGAGTTGTCTAAACACACTAATCAACTTCATGATAGGATAGATACGTATTGTAATGACATCATTTATTTTGGTTAATATATATCATTGAACAGATGAATGTGACAACTGAACAAGATATAAGTGTTAAGATGGTGGTTGAAGGTTGTTAAGAGGAAACCCTGGACCCGGGATCCGTGCTACTTGTCACTCGTCAGCATGGTGTACCTGTAATCTTGTGGGAACTGGTGCTCCCTGACGGATTCGATCTCGTGTCACTCAGCTTCACAGTCAGAGACGTTACCACTGAGCAAATCGGGCCGCGACTGACCTCCTGTGGGACTGAGATGTAAGGTCTAATTGTGCACGAATGAGGAAGAATTATCCATAAGTTAAATTATGTACAAATGACATTTCTCGAATTTTTTCGAATAATAATCTTCTGAATAATCAAGTTATAACAAACCGTACCCACAACCATTCACTTAAATTGAGGTAACAAATATACTAAATATGTTCTACAAATGGACAATATGACAAATGACAATGAATAAGACAAATTCACGTTCATGACATCGGTTTGAAATTTAAATGTGATTATTTCTTCATGCTTCCATTCATAAGGATAAATGCATGATATTCTGATGAGCTCACTCTCTTCACAGCAAGACGTTTTGTGTAAGATAGGAATGATTCTTGTCACAATCTGTAATTATTAATGTGATGCTGCTGCTGATGCTGCTGAAGATGATGATGTTGATAACGATGAAGTTGTTGATGTTTAAGTCGTTCATGATGAAGGTGGGGATGATGATCATTATCATTGCGATATTTGTGAACTGCTTATTTTTGTTTTGATTGTTTTGGGATATAATACAACCACTCATTTGAATGGCGTAGCGATTTCCAATATATGAGACTGAATAATAAGCTTACCAGTTTTATTTGTTTAGCTTTTATATTTTTTTGCTGAAAACACAAATAATGGATAGATGTGCATAAATATGGAACACAAAGTGTTGCATTTTGTGATGCTGTATTAATGTGTTTGATATTTCTCATTTTGAAATGATTCAGTGAAACATTATGTGGTAACGAGCTGTCCGAAACGAGTTGACTGAGGTTTACAGTGAGTGAATAATTGTGGCAGATAACGTAGACAATATATATAAAGTTAAATAAAACAGTTCTCAACAAATAATATCAATCATATTTGATGTATCATTGTAATCAAACACTTTGTCATTGGTTTGAAGTGATGTTAATACGCCCACTTCCTTTACCCGTTTTCTGTGATGTGGAAGAAATGTATAGTGTTTACGAGTTGAAAACTGCTGTAGGACTATAGGTAGAAACGTTGTTGTTCGTTCCGGTATGTACCAGAAAAATAACGAAATGTATCTCAACACAAAATGGATGCTTCTGAAATTTGGTTATTCGATTCATGCATCATCCATCACGAAGAATTTGAAAGAATTCATCAGGAAGAAGAATTCGTTCAGGGTCTATTTATTTACATTTTCAGTAACATTACTTACTTGCTTTAATAAACGGGGCGGCAAATCGGGAAGCTGAAATCGCAAACATCATAACTGTTATTGTTTTTTTCCAATATGATTAACTATTTTACCAAACGACATTACACCACAATGCGTCTTATTAAAAAGAAATCTGTCAATGTATTGTTAGATGACTTCCATACACAAGCTTTCGTGATTACTTCTTCATACGGAATGGGAAAGCGAATAGCTTACTCTTTAGTGATCGTACAGACACATGGACTGACGGAAAGCTTGCGAGCTCAGAATTTAAGCCAAGAAAGGCTCTACGACACACTTTACATCAAACAAAGTCTCTTCAACACTAGAATACTGAGAAACTACTGAAAGTGCCCCTTGTCGTGCTACGAAATATGAAGAAACAGTAAGTCGAACAATTAACTACTTCCTGACGATGAGGCAAATCAAAATAAGACAAATATCTGAAATAACATGTGAAATTGATTTTCACAACCTTATTTACTATTTCGTTACTAATGTCAACACAGTTTCAGAAGCATGTTTCATGATTTG